TTATTATTATTATTATTATCATTTCGGCATTACATGTAATTAACTTGGTCTAGCCTTGTAATCAAGAACCTGCCGATTACTATGCCTAATATTACATTTTTACATTCATTTGGTGCTCTGCCATTTTGATTTGCATGATTGATCTGATTTGATTTTGCTAACTTGTGTGGATCAGTGGACGTTGTTGATGCATCTAATCCATCTGAGGGCCTACTTCACCGCACTCACAGCAGTGATGACCGACACTGTTTCAGTGCCTGAAAAAGCATAGCCAAGGTTGCATCGAAAACGTTGCACAGGGTCTGCCATATTTTTTTTAATTTCTGGTTTCAAAAAAATTATTCCAAGAAAAAAGAAATTTCTTTATTTTTAAGAGTCAAGTAGATAGCAACACCATCAAACCAATGACTAGTGATTGAGACTTGACATATTAAATTACCTGTTAGGTATAGTAGGTTACATCATCATCTGACTCATAGTTTATTTTCATGCAATCTCAATCCCATTTATTACTTTGTTTTTCTTTTGTAAATTCTAACATTAATTCATCCATGTTATACTGTACACCTGTTATACTGTAATTATCTATTTTTTGTTCAATCAGTCCAAGCAATTTATTTCATTTTCTTTGGCTCAGAGCCAAGGATATGCCAATAAAAACTTATAATCACTTTTTGTACTATTGTGGCAATCCTTCCACTATGTTTACTGCATATTGTAGTGTAAAGGCACCCAAACCAACCACAGGAAACACATACAGTAATAGTGAGCTTTCGCAAATGCAGCACTGACATCTAGGACTAAAAACAGTGAACTGTGACCATTCTTGATGCTCGTCTGCGGTTCGATCATCGCAGTTTCGCAATTGAAGAACGGTAGTGAGTGACATCGGTTAAGTTGACCCACAACATCTTTTTAACGTATCCCTAAAAAGCACTTATTGGCCGATTGGTATCCCTAAAGATCGCCGATTGGTTGTTTGAGTTGGTTGTTCATGATTCTCCACGGAAAATAAATTGGCCAAAAACAATTCGTGATTTTGCCAAGAATGAGAAGCTCCGGGGATCGTGCATGCACAGATGGATTTTCATGTCAGATTACCGTCCTTGAGTCCCTCCGTTGTTGATGCGAAAGCTCACTAATCATATTTATATGCCACCTATGCGTGCAAGAACTGATGACAAAAGTAGGTAAACTCAGGGAGTTCCCTGGTCGATACTAAAAAATAGTCGGCTAGGTACTGGGATGTCGTTTAGTACAGTGTATAGGTTAGACTATCATAATTTTCAGTGATTTTATAAATTGATGAACAAATATAGTATAGATGTTAAAAAATCCAATTTTGTAAATTTACTTCCGATGCAGTCACAGTCAACTATGAGTTTTAAGAAGTGCAATCACCTTCCTGGGAATAACATCCAGGAAAACATCACATGCTTTTTCTGTTTTAATTAATTTGTTACCGTAAAGATCTCGTTTAATTTTCATCTTTAATTTTCTTTTGCCTTTAATTATGTACTGAGGGTTCCAATTGATCAGCTCTGGCTGGATGGACCACCCTCACAAAATATTGCCCTGCGGCTTCAGGAAATTTTTAAAGGAAATAACGCTCCTTCAGTTTCTACAGTATTTCCTATACAGTAGTGTACTCAAAACGTGACTATAATTGCATAATATAGACCATTGTGGTATAGTTGAACCCGATTCTCAAGTCCCTCTGTAGACTATACACAAATATAAAGCACAAGTTCTGGTTTCTCGGTGTTCAATCTATACTTTTATTCAGATTTCACGCAATCTAACAAGCGGAGCAGATATGTACAAGCTGTTTCTATAAAGCAGTGACAATTCTAACTAACTCATCAAGGAGGGAATCTTAATTATTATACTGGGTTTTAGTCCCTCCCCTTATTCTACACTTAATTACTAAATACTTAATCTAATCGGTAGAATCTTAACTTAGTCATCCCTCATTTCGTAATGTGGTATTTCCAAAGATGGTACCATCCATCACTAAAAGATGACAAGTTAGATCCTAGTCCTACCCACAGTTTCACCACAGTGGTCTCCTGGTAGTTCTGTGTTTGGTACCACCTTAAAGGTTATTAACCAGGAGGACATTATCACAACCATGCATTAACATTTTCCATATTTGGATTTCAAGTCTGTGGATTTCATTTTAATTGTTTTACATTTTTTGGGGTAAACATTTTTGCAGGTTGTATTGTTTGTTACTCATAGCACCAAGAAATTCAACAAGCGAGGGACCATATTCCTGAAACATATAGTAGGCTTAATAAAATTTACTATACAGTATTTAACATATTTTTATGGTTTAATTTTTGCTTTAAAAAAATGACTTAGGAGCACAGAATATCAAAACCACAATTTTTTCTTTTAATAGCTAACTGTGTAACCTGTGCAATTTATGAAAAATGATTTCAATTTGACAAGTTTTGTGACCACACTTAAAGTGGCATCTATTGTACAGCTGCTACTATCTAGTAACTATTAATATGTTAAATATTATATCCGCTTTAAATTACTAATAAATACCTGTACTCGCACAGTTTAGATGATAAACTGTAAATAATACAGAGTGGAAATATTATTATTAATTCATCAATCCAATAGATACTGTAAATGTAATAACAGAAAGCTTCTCCTTCCTGAATATATCTTTATGAATAGTTTTCCATGAAAAAATAATTCATTAATTAAAACTTAATGTGTTGTCCTACAGTGAATAATTTTACAATATATAAAAAAAAATTAACGATATAACATAAAAATCACCACAAAAACCACAGAGAAATTTTAGAATCAGGAAATGTATGCGTTTGTGTATGCCAAGTATTTTTTCTAGAGTGCAATTAATATTTATAATACACCTGCAGCCTTCTCATAATACACATAAAATTCAGACCATAAATTCAACTTCGAAAGTCTATGATTTTTCCAGTGAAAACTTTTAGTAGCCATACTGTATATAAAATGAACTCAGGAGTCCTACGAAGACAATCACACCAGTTTTTTTTTCAAATACAGATTGACTTTATTTAACTACCACCTTTTAGAAATATTGGGTCAGGGTGGTGTATGGGACAGCCAAATGTCCCGATGTACAGTATGGGACATCTTTGAATAGGTTTTGAGATTTACAAAACTTTTATTTAAACATTTACTATTTAACTAATCTAAATCAGGGTAGTCATAGTATTAATTCCACTTTAAATTTAAAATAAATTATTTTATAATTATAGCAGATGTGTTTAAAAGAGAAAGTATTTTAGTGTGACATAACATAATTAAAAGGCTAATTACTTGGAAATTAATTTATAAAAAAAATCCATAAATTTGCTATACCTATAGTATTATTAATAGACTAAGAACAGAGGACCTGAAGTTGAAAGTTTTTATCTTTTAAAATTTGGATTTAGGGCTAAATTTTAGACTTCTATGTGGCTCACAGGACACGACAAACAACCACCATCTAAAAAACGTAATTTACTGTACTGCAATAAATAAAGTCTCATGATCAGGACTGAATGTTGGCTTTAATATTCCATCATGTTGACTGATAAGATCCGAGTATAATCAATATATTGGTAAATAAATAGGAAAATGGATTTTAGTTTTGAAATTTAGTAAAACCAAGAAATCATCATTTTTGCATAAAATGGCTAAAAATTATAACATTTTCATGAAAACTTTATTGTTCTGAATACTAGTGTTATTTGGTTATTATGCAATTCACACAAAAGCATGATCATTATTTGATTTGGCCACTTTTCGACTTTCTAATATGGAATCGCCCAATTGTTAGTTTCATGTCAAGGAATTAAAATTATTTTTTGGTGAGGGTATTTAATAAATTACTATCCTAGTGTAAAACATGTGGTATTAAATAATTTTTTTTATACAAGAAGTTAACAAATTATTTGGCCTAAATACTGTAGAACACACGCATTAAAAAAAACCCCGGAAATTTTCACTGAAGTTACAATCTGGTCAAACTTGCGTCATTACACTTCCTAGTTTGAAGGTTGTGCAATTCAATTAATGAGACATCGTACTAATCAACAACATTTTGGCAAACAGTAATTCAAACAGACCAGGTCACATGATTATTGACTAATTAACGTGACAGATCCAAGCGGTACGATATGGGCCTTTTCTGTCCGTGGCTTTCTGGTTAACTTTGCTATGTTTACAGTTTACACACAATTATATTGAATGATATGTTACCGTTTTAGTAAACAATGTATATTTTTCTAACTGAAGGTCAAAATTTTTTTTTAATTCAAGAAACTCAGAAATTATAAATTGAAATAGTTAAAGTTGTACATATGCTACAAAAAACGTTAAAATGTGATTTGCATAAATTATTAGATTCAAAATACTGTACATTTTCAATGTACAGTGTATGTTCAAAATTCTGTTGATCTATACAGCGCTGTTTCAAAAGCATTATAGTGCTGAGCAATGTATTGTAAACACAAAAGTGAAAGTGATCTGGTTCCGGTTCTGATACAATAATAAAAGGTTTGATTATTATATATGACTGCATTGATATTGCTACAGTAAGTTTTTATTAATTTTGAATTACAGAGACTAAAAAAATCCACAGTTACGGATTTGAATTAGTACCTCATACATTACTGCAGCATAAATCACTTATAAAATGCCTGCACTGCATTGTAAGAAGGTAAAAGGCTAAACTACTTAAGTCCTCATTTGTAAAATGAATGATTCTTTTTCCAGAAACTGTAGGTCAGTAAATACTGACTACTGAATACTGGTAGGTAGTGAATTCTGTATACAAAAGTATTTTTAAAAGTGTTAAGTTACAGTACACTTTAAAACTAAACTTTAATTTGTTTTTATTATTTTATTGTACCCAAACAGTTTTTAAGTACTGTATATTGTACAGTATGAGAGCATACTGAATTTTCCATTGGCCCAAACAGACAAAATTTAAACATGCTGTGTGGATCATCAGAGCAAGTCACTAAAAATAACTGAATACATCCAGGAAGTCTTTCTTTAATTTGAATCTTCTAACAAAGAATTTATAATTAATTTGATTAAAATGCATCATAACTGTACTTTATAATACTGTAATATAATAATAATAACTTTATTTACAAATGGAGAAATTTGTCACAAAAATGTGTTTTTCATAAGACCGTTTTGACTTAAATATAAATTATACAAAGTAAAATAGGAGTATTCATTTTAAAAGCAATATACAAAAGTCAAAAAAAGGAAAAATTTGACATCACATTAATTGCAAATTTCATTATCCTTTCTGTTATCCAAATATTTATCTCTTGTAAGCTTAACTTTCACATCTCTTATAGCATGCTTTGGTCCCAACTTAACAAATTTCTTTTATCTTTATTATTTTAAGACCAAAGCTGTATACAGTTTGTCCAGTAAATTATCGAACTGCGTCGTTTTAAGCAACATTTACTTTGATTTTTAAACTGTATGTTTTAAAAGCACAATTTTAGGCCATCCTATACAGTAGGATTTAATTCTGGAACCATGAACAAGCTCTAGGCCGCCTATTGGTTTTACAGTACCCTACTGTTGGACTTGTTTAACATCCCAGCAGCAAATTTCTGGAGACAACTGGATGCCAAGAGAAGACTGTCCATTTCATGAACTAGCTAAAGTCAATACAAAGTAGTAAGTATTTCTTAATTTTTACATAAGGCAATCAGTTCTTTAGAAATTACTAAAGATGTTAGGCCTCAGTTTCTACTACACTACGCTCAAGCTGGGATCAAATTTTCTTTCGCCAAAGTTCTTTAATTTTTTTCGCCAAATTGAAATTGTTTTGGCCAAATTTAAAAACTTTTTTTGCCAAATTGAAATTTTTTAGCCAAATTTAAAAACCAACAAAATTTCGCAAAAAAAGGTTCCGTAAAATAACATTCTTGCTGTATATATGCCTTATTCATTTGTAACCAGTCGTAAAGGCGGTAATGACAATATTAATGATTGAACAAAGAAAAAAAATGAACGTTTACGATATGTGGACCTGCTTTACAGCTAGCTCAGTCTCAATTAACGTTGCCATACAGATTATCTATTAAGTAGGCCTAAACGTTAAATGTTAGATAAACTGAAAGTTACGCCTTAATATTGTTCATAAAGTGCATTATCGCAATCAACCTAAAATGAAAGACGGAACCCAAAGCAAGTTTCTACGACAGCTGACTCTTTTTCAGTAGACATTTAATTCTAGATAAATGGACGTCGTAGATTCATCAGTGTAAATTACAAATGATAGCTTCACTCATTCCTCAAAAACATGTTGCTAATTACGGAGAAAATTTGTAGAGAATGACATTTAAATTTTTGTTATTTGACTGTAAAACAAAACCATAAGGGTTTCTTTATTTGTTTTAATTATCTGTTAACACTGAGCTTGTTCCCGTCTGCAAGCTGCCACGCACTACGAAACTGATCAGACTGTTTGCTTTAAAATTGCCAATGCATGTCCATACACATGCCCAGAACAATTTATCTATCTGGGATTTTACAAAGGGACAGTGTCTGTAAATCTGTACAGCACATGCGGTGTAAATAGGGTTGCTTAGCGAGGCGATATCTCCGCTACTCAAGATTTTAATTACTTAAAAGCCTAGACAAAGATTAAATTTGTTTACAGTATATAAAAATTTGCTTTCGCCATTTTGGCGAACGATGCAAATTTTTTCTTCGACAAATGGTATCTCAATTCGCCGCTGGCGAATTGGTGAATGGCTAGCGTGAGCATAGGTACACAATCAACTCTAATACACCTCCTGAGAATTGAAATAATGACAAATTATTAATATTACAAAATTCAAACACTTATTTCTCATGGGAAAAAAAATTCATAAATTAGCAATATAATTCAAATGCCCATATTCAAATAAAAACAAACAATTTTAATTTGAAAGACAAATATAACATTTTTAAATCTTTATGAAACAATTTAAGATATTTCCTTGCAGTACAATGTGCACTTAATAACTTACCCAAGTCTCTTTTTTGCCTGCTGGATCGGAGAAAATCAAATGTGTTGCGGTTAGGTAGAGTGCTCCCATTGCGGGCTTACGAGCATGGAACCGATCGACGAGTCGCACATTTTCAATCTAATTGGATAAGAAACATTAGGTAATTTTTGGAAATGTGTGCAATGTGATTCCATAACCATCATTAATATTTGTTTATAAAACTATAAAAGCCCAAATCAAACAGTGTTGCAAGTTATCGTTAATAATAATAATTGCTTTTTTTAACAGCATGGTAAATACAGTATCACAGCACACCCACCATGGGTACTGGTATGTTACAGCTTCAGGTAAATTTCAGCTTTTAGCTTTTATGTACCTTAACTTTACAAATTAATTAATTGTATTTTTGATAAAGAATATCGTATCAGTAAATTCAATAGAAAATAGCCATCCTGCTACTGTATACATTTTGCGTTTCAGAATAAACTGCATACAGCAAATGATTAAACCTAATCACGCAGAGGCCTGTCGCTGACTTAAAAAGCAGACAAGTCTATAAAGCGTACATATTCTTCTTGCAACAGAATTCACAGATTTGGAATACAGTTAAACTTTCCAAAGTCGACTGTGCCTATGTCAAATAATCAATCTTATTTTACATGCCAAATGGCTGTGTTTTCCATTGATTAACAATCTGTACTTGTCGGATTTTATTTAAGTCAAACACTATTTCAATAGCATTTTGGATTCGACTTAGGCAAGTTCAACTCGTAATCTAAAGTTTTCCATGGCAAAATACAATACATGCTGATCAAATACAATTTTCTTGTCATTAAAATAAACTAAATTGTACCTAAAATAGAATATGTCAAGAATTATGAAAGCGAGGTGAAATAAGATCAGATTTTTTGTTTTGTTTAATCATTTACATTCAACAGTTACAGTAGTACACTCTCCACTTCAATTCAATTTAATCCACTTACACACGAATCCTTACTAAACCTGCTGTACTCTGTTAATGAGGCTTTAAAGAATGGACCTGACTTTTAGAAGTGCAGTAAGACCTTCTAGTGAAAGATACCGTAGGACCTGGAATTCAATTCAATTCAATTTATTCACCTCCCTTAGGAGAAAACATTCCAATGTACATACAATAAAATACATAAAATCTATAAAATTATATAAAATCATGCAGCACATACAAACAAAGGAAATATAACAAATTAGTTAAACAAAGTTAAATTAATTTTTATTAATTTATTTTTTTTATTTCCCTGACAACCAGTACACTCACTACTTACAGGATGAGAATGATGCTTTTTAAACTAAGCCTCTTTATCAGGCTTGTGGATTGTTTTTAGTCGTGACAGGAATTGAACCCAGAATCAAAGGAAAGTATCTTAACCACTCAGCTATTCAACTTCACTCCTTTCAAAATTCAAAAACGTTGCACTCCGTTCCATTCAAAAAGGTCGCAACAAGTTAAAAACAGTGTTAAAATCATAGGGAGCTTTCGATTAGTTCGATGATGCGACGCTAGAACGGAATCACTGATGCGTGACCGTCCTACCTGGCGTCCTACATTCTCCGCATACCTACATTTAGCCAAATGGCGTTCCAGAATCTACTTCACGAGGTGACTTTCTCGTATGCGCAGATGACTTTTAGTTGACGTCATTACGTTCTACATCCTACCGTCGTTGTGCAATCAAAAGCTCATTAACAAAAATGGTAAACTTAACACTGTCACAAACACCATGGTAAACACAATCAAGAAACTTGCAACTTTTTAAAACATTATGATGGTAATTATTGTTAAATATTATGTTACAAATGGAAAAATCATTTTTGGGAAGTAAGAATCCGGACACAATCCAGGTACTGCAGCAGATAGGACCTTATGTACAGTGCAGTACGACTGCTATATTTCCTGCTGTAGGTGAATCATGATTACATGATCAGTTAAATACTGTTCTGTACAGAAAATGTCAATTCACCAAGGACATGTAATTTCCAAATGAATGAATAAAATTAAATTATTACATGACACTACGCTGTCTGGAATATGTAATTTCAGGTGTCAAAATATCCATGCAAAAGACATAAAGCTTTATTGCACTTTAAATACTACAGTATACCAAAAACCATTAATTGTTGGGTGGTTGTTTCTTTCAAAACATTTAAATTACAGGCTAAAATCACACAGCATTTGACCTACATGTAAACTAAAGCCCTCAAATTACCAGTAACAATTAGGTGTCAGTTTTTTTTTTTTTAGATTACAGACTTGTTTGCATTGGGCAATTGACCAAGTTGAAGAGCTTAAATGGGTCAAAATGTACTCTGTTCGCACTTGGACTTTTGAGTATGTGGCTAAATGAAGATATTAAGAAGTCGATGAACAGATGTAGTCTGTCAAATCATGAATTCTATAACATGTTCCACGATGAGCACAATAGTAATGTAGCACACGCTCAGGAACTTTTAACCAAGATAAGCTGTTCACTAGAATTTTCAGCTCTGGGAAACTTGCTTTTGCTTGGACACAAAATAAAGAAATTTAAGATAATCACAGAATTGAACTAAAAGCTGTTAAGCGAAATAATAGATCTTTGCATAGTTTTATCGACGACAGGACTACAGCAAAAGTTGAATTTCCGGTCTCACATATGACTTCTTTAATAAGAACTTCTTACTTACTGCCTAGTTTAATGTCTGTGAACGAGGGTTGGACACATCATATGCCTCGGCTTGATGGAATTTCTCCATTTTGAGCGGTTCTGTGCTATAGCAGCATCAACATTGAGTTTTCTAAATGTCATTCTGGATGCTGTCATACCACCTTTTCTTTGGTCGACTCCTTAGCACCCGCCCTCCAATGTCGAGGCTTAGAATACTGTAGGTCAGTTGTTTGTTATCCATTCGCTGCAGATGTCCAAACCACCATAAATGATTTTGTCATACTATGACATAAGTACATCTCGCACAGAAGACAGGTTTAGACATTTCCTTTAGATCTGCCATAGTCAGGAAGCTTCACTTAGCAAATCCGTCATCATTGCATTGTGTGATCATCCAGTGTGATCGGTATATTGATAGCCCAGGGACAGATTGTTATAAGCGGTCTTCAGACGGTCTTAACGCTTAGCCGGCTTCAATCGTTATGTCACTACTGTTCTATGATTATTTATAGATCATTGCTTAACCGCAGTCTAAGCAGTTAGCCTTCTTAAATTTTGGCTTAAGGTGGCTTAAAACGGTCTTAAATCATTTTCATCATGGCGTTAAAGGTACTAGACCTGTAATGTAGGCCTAGATCGTCAAAGACTAAGAATCGAACAACGAATATTCATCAAGCTTCTCAACATCTGTTAAAATCGGTCAACTGTTAAAATCGGTCTACGTTTATTTACGTTCATTTTGATAAATATGCATGTTTTGAGCAAGCGTAACAACACCCTCAATATTATGTTACCACAGAGTACTTATTTGCGTTTCAATACTCTCAGCGATCTAAGCGAACACCGTTTTATAGCAATGGTCTTATAGGAAAGTGACATGCAATAAGAGTCATGAATACTTCAGTAGATATTTTCATGATCAAGTTTACCATTTTTTCACTGTTCTGTACTATATGCCATATTCCTCTTCCGGACCACACAAAATATAGTTCAACCATTACATGTTTAATTCCATATTATTATTATTATTATTATTATTATTATTATTATTATTATTATTATTATTATTATTATTATTATTATTATTTAGGCACAGAATACATGTCAATTAGCGAATATCACTGTCCTACTTGTAGGTGACAATCCCTTACACAAGACAAACATACACACACGATGCTTTACACAAACTAAATCTCAATATGAGATTTAGGGAGTGGAGTTGTTTTTGGTAACACTGACAGGAATTGAACCCATGACCCTGGGATTGGAAGGCAAGCATCTTAACCACCAAGCTATTCAACTCCATATGTAAATTGTTATATTATTATTATCAGTTAAATGTTGTCTTGCTTTTTATAGTGTTGTTTTCAATGTTTGCTATATTGTATCAAACTCGAAAAAACAAATCTCATGTGTATTATGTGTGACGATAATAAAAGAATTTTGAATCTTAATTCACTGTGACATGACATCACCTAGGTAACAGAAAGTTACTGTAGAGTCTACCACTTTGAGTAAGTCACTTCCCTGGGCAACTTCAGTGATGAAAGGGTTTCTAGGAGCAATCTCTAAACTTTGCATTTAAAGCTGGAATAGTGCACCACGGATTCCAGAACATCTTTTATGTACCCAGTGCTTGCAAGTGCGGCAGATGATTGAGTTATTGACAGCACCCTTTGTACATACACTGCACTTCAACCTTGATGTGTTAATTTATTACTTCAAATCTCTTTTGGTAGTGTGGTGGTCCTGTTTTACTAAAACATACTGTGTACTTTATTTCAATCATATATTGTAAAAAAAGGATGCAAAAACTTAGATTTACATTAAATAACTTGTGGCCGAGTTAACTTGTGGCCGAGTTGACTTGTGGCCGAGTTGACTTGTGGCCGAGTTGACTTGTGGCCGAGTTGACCTGCACCCAGTGTAAGTAGTACCAGTGCAAATATATAGGAATTTAGGTCAACCCGAATTTACGAATGAGGGGTTCTACTGTATATTCAAAGTCAATTTGTGTGCTCCCAGCTACTGTAGCCTAGGTCTGGGATTACTATATATTAAGTTTATACATATTTAATAAAATCCACCAAAATAATTGAAGATACAATATTTAAAATACTGAAGCTGTTAACATGTTGCAATTTGTGGTGATTCCCCATTAGGCCTAGGCCCTAGATCTGCCTTGCATCATCGTCGCCAAGTTTTTAGACCTTAAAATAATGACCACTAATTAGTATTACTATTATTATAAAAATAAACATTATCTTTAATTTATTATTGTATTATTGCTACTATTATCACCTTCAATATCGTTATTATCACTAATTAGTTATTAAAATTGATATTTAAATATCGTTATTGTTACCATACTAGTATTATTACTATTTGTTAAAATAAATATTACTATTAATGTTGTTGTTGTTATTATCACATTTATTATCGTCATAATGACTAATT